TGGACCGGTAGTGTGTAAATTTATGCGTATGTAGGCGCACATGAGGGTATTCCGGTGCCAGGTAGCCTTGCCATCTTTCGGTTCAATTTCACGAGTACCGGATTGGGAGCCTTATATGATTCGCCAATTCAAGTCCCCGGCGCTTGGGTTACCGGTTGTTATGAATGCCCGGCATATCCCCATGTCTATTGATTCTGTCGTTCTGCTGTGGATCATATGAAAAATGCATTCATGTCTATCCCCGGGACACGTACTAAAGAATCCAAATACCTACCTTGTGTGGTTTTTTTGAGAGGAGAAGAAGTGACACCAAACATCGAGAAGGGATTAGTATATTTGGTCATAAACATTGAGAAATTCCGCTTAATGTTGACCAACTATTGAAAATTGGTTCTCTTAGCTTGGGTGAACTGAATTCTTTTTCGCCTGTTCGCCGAGTTTGACAATTTGTTTGCGAACGTTTCGTCACCAGCCAAGGTGACATCATCAGTGCTTGTGAAGTGGCAGTGTTCTGCTTGTAACCGTTCGTTTATGTGTTCTTCTCCAACGACTATTTTTGTCCCGTGTTCTCACTGTGTTCGACTCGGTTCGCCGTTGAACTGGTGTGAGAAGGTGCGGGTTGGAGGGGAGGAGGTTGTCCTTTCGTCCCGATTGCGATTTCCGTCCGTTCTCAGGTCACGGCGTGACGCTTTTTGTTGCGTCATTTGGTCCTTCAGTTGTATTGGCGTGTAAACGTGACCCAGTTTGATGTGCCTGTTTATTGAGTTAATTGAAGCGTATCAATCCTCCAGAAATTCTCTGACCGGGCTTGGTCGATAATTTTCACTGATTCGAAGTCAAATTGATGTCCTCCTTGATCTTCGTGGAGGGAAATCAACGATAGTGGGCCATGTCTCCTGACTGCCGATTGGTGTTCACGGATCCTTGTTTACGGTTTTCTCCCAGTTCGTACGATATAGTGTTTTGGGCAGTTCTTGCAGCTTGTTTTGTAGATGACGCTACTCTTGTCTTTCTTTATTGTTCTCTCCTTGGATTTTTCCAGAAGTCCCCTTAGACAGGCGATCGGTTTGTGGGCGACTTGGATTCCATATGATCTGAGCAGTCTTGCTGTCGTTTTCAAAACGTCCTTGATGTACGGCAGGGTCATTCTTGTTCCCGATTCCCCGTCTGTTGTCCCTTTCTTTTATTGGGTTAGAGTTCTTTTAATGAAGTTGTGGGTGAAGCCATTGCGAGCAAACATTTTGAGGAGGTATATTTCTTCTTTCTTCTTGAGTATGTCGGCGCTGCAGTGCATTTGGATTCTTCCGAACAGGGTTCTAACATAGCATCTGGCTGTGTGGATGATTACTTTTAAAGTTTAGGATTTGATATGCATGTATTGCCTTGCTTCCGCTTAATTTCGTGTCTGACCAATTGATTTCAATCAGAGTCTTTATCAAACACCAAATCCCTACGGATATCGGAATCGATGCCGCGCAAGCAGTTGGCAATTGACTTTCACCAGAGGGGGTTTGTTTATACCCGTCACATTGGAGTGAATTTCTATCTGTGAACATTTTGATTCCCGACTCCCTCAAGGATATTCTTACTGTGTTGGAGTAAGCTTACTACATACGGTTAGGTTTTATAAATTTCACCAAAATTGTGAATTGGAGGAAAAAGAATGAACTAAGATAGATAAATTATTTCTGACTTGACAAAGGCCTTCCAAGAAGGTCGAAACGTTGTCACCGAAATCTTGTGTTTTGGTACTCACGTTGTGGCTAAAACAAACCTGATTCTATTATAAATTATTTCTGTTTGTTTTTTATTTATTTATCGTTCCAAAGAAAACTGATGCACTTCAACTGGTGTGTGCACACTTCAAGCTGCAGCTAATCGGATGATCGTTTATCATGTCGTATAGAAATTGGTTAAACAAAATGAAATAGTCCATACAAAATGATAAACTAAATTGAAAAAAATTTCCACTTCAGGTAATTTAAATACCAATTATCCAATTGGTTTTTTATCTTTGCTTAAATTACCGTTCCTTTTTGGTGAAAGAGAATCAGTCAATCTAAAAGTCTCAGATCGCCAGTTGTCCACCATAGATTTTTATGTGTAATTTATTTATTTTCGCTGTGATATATCCTTGGAAAACCCGGTTGCGTCATATACACATTCAGTGCCAGTTTGGACCAACCATAACCGTGCCACACTCTGCGCTCAGGTTTTGTTAGCTGTTGGTTTACTATTTTTTGGCAGCCCAAGGAGAGGAAGAAAGTGAGAGAAAGAGTTACCATAAACCTGAGTGGAGAAAGAAGATACACGATACAGAATCGGGGAAGTGTGTGGAAAGTGAACCGATTCAAAGGGGTAACTGTTTACATCACACAATCCAACTACACACTACCTTTAACTTTTCACCGAAGTCGTCCTTCTACTTCCGAACGGCAGATATAACACGGCCTATGGTACCAGGTCCTCTGGTGAAGGCAATATTGTCCGCTTACCAAATTCCACTTGCCTCGGAAAACAAAGTACACCGAGGATGATCATTCAGGACACACGTATTTCATACTGCAACCACCACAACCGTAAAGCTACACTAATTCACCATGTGAAGGATTAAATCGTAGACATGGAGATGGCGCAGATCGGATTTGCAATCATGGATATTTGTTTATACTGAAGCATCTGTACCGATTTCATGGTTGCGTGATGCCCGACACATGAATTTATAGTTCCAGTGTACCACCAATCCGAGTTGGATGCTTCCCGCTTAGGAATGTGTATGTCACCCATGTGGGTTGGTCAAAAACACTGCTATAACAGGAGTGAAATTCACAAACAAGAATAACAAATATCATCCTGCGCAGAGCAAATAAAATGTGAACTGAAAACCTATGAAGCACTGGGCAGCTGTTTCGATCTGGTTGGGTCCCATCAGCTGTGTGAATCCATCTACGCAACTGGGAATCGAATCTGGGATTTCACGGGTAGAAAGTGGGCATACCAATCACTCGGGCACCAGGCAGTATTTGGCTATTTTTTCATTTTCCTAGTACACAATACAGAGTACTGCATTTGAGATCCACTCAGGTCAAACTGGTGTCCAGTGCTTCCCAATTTTTTAGTTCACGCATCATTTACTTTGAACAAAATGAAATGTACTTTATAATCACAAATCTGCATCAGGTATTGTGAATGCGAATGAAATTCTAGCAGAATCAACAATGAAACAATTTAATCGGACATTTTTATGAGTTCACCATCGCAGTTTGCAATCTTGTATTGTGATAAGTAGCCGGCATTTAAATAACTATTTTTGAACTATATATATATATATATATATATATATATATCGGTAATTCCCCACTGTTTGTATGCATTTAGATGCGGTGGAAATGTTCGTGATAATCAACAAAGAGCACTGGACAGCTGTTTCGTCCTGTTTGGGACTCTGAATTAACTATCTCCCAAGGAGTGAAACCCACACCGAAGACCATCAAGAGTGCCTGGTGCCTCTGAACAATCGAATGGGCTAATGCAAGCTTGATACTCTAAATTTATTGAGCCATTCGCACAAGGTGATACCCGTCGACCGTGTAACTCAGAGGTAAGGGTTTGAAGTCCCGACCCGACTGATCGCGGTTCGAGTCCTGACAGGGATACAAAAAATACGCATTGCTGACGAGCCCCAAACAGGGTGAAGCAGCTGTCCAATGCGCTTTGTCGGTTATCACAAACATTTCCATCACATTCAAACCAGACTTTATCCGAGCGAAAGTGGCCTAGAATGGTTTCTTTCGGAAAATGTCGTTTTGGAAGTGATTTATCCAACCACAGATCGATGTGGATAAAAAAAACCATGATCCTTTCACTCTGTTCATCCAAGTATTTTCGTCTGAACCGGTGATCCCTGTGCGGCACATAAATGGCTATTCGATCGAAACAAGACACGTCATTATTATCATTCATTGTATTTGCATCCGAAAGCGTTCGTGGTATTTGAGCCCTCCTTATTCTCGTCTGTTTTGCTCGACAACTGGTGAACTTGGAAATTCAAATTGGGATGGATGTGGTGATGTTTTGTTGCTGGTTTGAGCCCAAACCGGATATTCATTCACCATTAACCGAATGTACGTGAGAGTGGGATGGGGCGGGCTGTTTCGATCACGCAACTAACAGTTCACACAAGTCAGTCATGTTGATCCGAAAAGTCAGAAGCCAGATTTAACCTTGTTTAGATGAAGTGGTAACGATTTCAAAGATGCATATAAACACATCCAAAGTAGCAGGAATTATCGAACTAGAACTCCAACATCGGACAACGATGTTTTGAAGTTATTAGATATTAAGAAAGACTAAATGCATTTTTCTTGGTTAGAAAAAGGACTGTACATGCGTAGTTTTCAACTTAAAAAAGCTCCAGTCCTAAACCAAACTGACAGCCAGCCTTCTTGGGAGATAATAATGAGACTTGATGAATCTTCCTCCTTAAAAACATCGATATTAGTCCACCGTTGAAAGCTGCTTCCATCAGTTCGTCTACTCACCCAATCCCTTCATGGCCTCGCGAAGCTTTTTACAGTCCTCTTCCACATCAATTGATTTAGGAGCTTTCAAGGTCGGATTGAAGGTTTCTCCGTTGGGTCCGATCAGAATTCGACGACGCGGTTGACGTGACATGATTCTTATCAGGAAGCACTAATCTGAAACAAGAAAAACTCAATGAAGCAATTTTATGTTTAACAAGGTCAAAGCGATCCTGATATCTCACTCAGGCCTCTGTACGCACACTATGTTTGCTGAAAAATGTCCTAGCTGACAATCGATCAGTTTTCTCAACCACGAAGTGGCGGGTTCACCGATCCAAAAACTACCACTGATCGATTGAGGTATGTTGTTTACCAAAGATTTCCTTGATGTAGTCATGATTATTGAGAGAACAACTTTTCCTCACGAGATTGAATGCTAAGAGCCTAAAGAGAATTCAAATATCACATACTAAGTGATTGGGTTGCCTCCTAATATAGTTTGAATAAGCGTTCGTCTACTTGTTATTGGAAAATGAGTATAGTTAAAACGTTCAGTTTGCAAGGACTGTCTGTCTTCCAATGCGGCCTACTTGTTTACGAACAGTTCATCGCTACCATCCCATCAGGTGAGCAAGCGGAACTAAATTTTGAATGGAATCTGTGAGAGAGATCAAAGAAAAGCAGTGCCATTTGCAAGTTTTCCCAAAGGGTATTGAATCGCGGACCTCCGGATCGTGAGCCGAAATCGCCACACTACGGAGCTACATGATCAACAGCCAGCAATGGAGGGTATGAATGTGAATGTGGTGGAGATTCACCGACTTTGTGTATTGTTCTTTTCAGTGCTCTGTTGCCAGTCTTCAAACAAGTCATTTGACAACCTGATTGTCAAAGTGGGACCAAGGCCATTGAGGAAAAACACTGTGATCACGGTGTCTGAGAATTGCTGTGGAAAGCCAAGTTTTATCGGAAGATTTTTTTCACTTCTTAGGGATGTGTGTCACCCTTGTTTGGTTTGCGCGAGAGACCAAAATAATTGAGAATACACATGCAACTCTTACGGAGGCGTAGTTGGATCAGATGGATGGATTGACGTGATGTGCATTCAGGTGTGTACAGATCATTGTTGAAAAAGACAACAATAAAGCGATAATAATTTCGCCTCCACCCCGNCCACCCCGCCCACCCCCCCCCTCACTCGACCCCCACTCAACTGTCTGATAAAGGCAAATCATCCTCGAGTCAGTTGACCTGATTGGAGTACAAATATGCCTTCAGAATGCGTAGTTCAATGAAGATTTCACCACCAAGGTGGAATAATCAAACAGCTGAAGTTTTGTTAGACATTATGTAATCAAAACATGTGGTAGTGAAGATAGCGAATCGGTTTTTCTGGATGGTCTATGATAGGTCACCATGATGGATTTCATATATTTCATTGAAATCTTGTTTGATTTGGCAGAAGGCGAGTGAATTGTAATTTACTTTGAAAACTACTCATGATTTACATATTTCTACAATGCTGAACTAAGGTTAAAAATCTGGTTTTCTCTTCCCGGTAATGTGCTGATATTGTATTCCACAAAGCTTAGAATTTACAAAGAATTATCGATCCGTTGATTGTGGTTTTGGTGACGACCATCGTGTTGATTTTCCCGGCTATAATAATAATAATAATAACAATAATAATAATGGTGATTACATGTGTAACCCACCGTCACTATGGTGTACGTGACACAAGAAAACGACCTCAACCAAAGGTTTCAAGCTTTTCACCATGATGTGTGTTCATCATTTTGGGGATGCGAAACATGCCTACTTACATCAAGTCACAAACTCGTCCATGAGGGTAACACTATTCTACGGTGTTTCCCCTGTCAATTTATCCTCCGAATATTGTCTCTTAGTTTCCGCTCACATTCTTTTAGTCCTCATCCCTCGTTTTAGCCTTGTTACCAAGTCGTCCGGCGAGTAGCACAGAGTTAATTTCAAGTGGCCAGAATCTGACATCTGTCCGATAAGTAAGGGTGCTTAAAAAATAGTAGACAATCCAGGATGAGGAAAAATCCAGACAAAAATTGCAACGACCCGGCCAGAAGCAGGACAAGCCTCAAGTGAAAACGGAATCGATGCAACTGGCACAGGTATAGTGATATGCATAAGACCAATGTGGATAAAGGAAGTCAGCTTCAATATGTGGCCAATATTTTGCTCAATTTATTTATTTATATTATTATATATATTATATTATTATATTATTATTATTATATATTATTATATATTATATTATATATTATTATATATTATATATTATATATTATATTATTTATTTATATTAGAAAAAACATTTCAATTCTTTCAAGTCAATCTCTTTTATCCGAAACACACTCAACTGTGGATCACATTTGTTATCTCGGATTCCACCAAATGAAATAAATGCACGAAGGAAATTATAAAACACAAGACTGGATCACGTGGGATTATTTTCTCAGTCCAGCTTAATATGTGCTGCAATTGCTCAGAACAAACCGAGGTTCAAGGGAGAACGAGTCATTGGACTGATATTTGTCATGTCAGAA